CCTGCTGAAGATGATCGCTCTCTGTCCTCCCTCCACTGCAACACAAATACACTGCAGCACTGCAACAAGTACTCGGAAGGAAAGGTACCACTATGTTACTGCAAAAGTACAAGCTGGCGCAAGCAAAGGTCCTGCACTCAAACAAGTACACAAGTATCATCTTCATGTAGTTATAGGATCAGCAGTAAAAGTACACAAATATTCTAAAGTTCCCGTAGTAAAGGTACAGAGGTACTGTCAGATACATACAGTTAAAAGTACCAACAGTAAAAGTAGACAAATATCAGTTTCTTGTAGTAAAAAATACACAATTATTCTCACCTTCATGAAGTTAAAGTATGACTAGTAAAAGTACTCAAATATTATATTAATGTGGTTAAAGTATCGGCAGTAAAAGAACAAGATTTATCTTCCTGTAGTAAAAGTACACAAGTACTATAAGCTTTGTGTAGTTAAAGAACAAGGATTCTCAGGTTTATCTGAAGTAACCCAGTGAAGTACTTGTTGTACTGTGACTGGTATCAGAGTATCAGGCGATCTCTACAGGACAGACACCAGGACCAGACTAAACCGATCATGCGACTCTGACAGAGTACTATGGTGTTGTTGACCATGAGGGTACAAATACACATGGCGAGAAGGCTTTAGGAAGTGCAGCTCAAGTTTTTACAATATTCAAACAGCTGGCTCAAAGCGATGCAGCAGCTCACAGGTGTGTGGAGCCAAGGGACGGCGTCGGTGTCTGTATGAGGGGCAGCACAATAGTACAACACTACAGCAGAGTACCTGTGTACAAGGATTCCTTCAGTCCGTACGCCACAGCTCCAGCTCCGACCAGCAGCTTGAGCCCGAGTCCTGTGCCCCGAGGCCCCGCCGACATCCTGCCTGCAATCTGCCGCAGCTGCTGCAGAAAACTCTGGACAGATCAGGAGTAAAAGAGCTCATCATCAACAGCAACCAACTGCGACACTCACTGCACTTGTCTCACACTAGTGGTTAACAGGCATTAAACCTGGCACAGAGCGACCTTCGTACCAGGTGTGTAACCATGCTGAAGGCTGACACCCCCCGGTAACTTTACAAGGACTGTCTGGCCAAAGAAACATTCAAGGACGAGACAAAGCCTATTCAGAGGGCCGTTTGTTTTAACTGGTACAAAAGCAAATCAGTGAGCGGCTAACTGGCCGCAGCTGAGCACCGGTTTGAATTAATAGGCTCTCATCTTAAAGTCAGCCTAGAGAGGAGCCACCGACAGGAAGCCGTTTCAAAGAATATCACAATATTGTTTGTTTATAGTACTTCATATCACCATGTAAATTACTCGTGTTAACATTAGTGCAACAAATGGAAAAGGTTTAGTAGAAACCACAGCTTCTCAGTGTACTGTACTATTTACTGTACGTACTGACCTGAAGAGCAGATTCTAGTATAAATGTACCAGTAAGTGAGGAAACATTGTTAGGTTTTTAGATGGACACTGGCATCTGGGGCGGGGAAAGCACATTAAAACTTTAATGTTCCTGCCAAACTACTGCTAACTAAACACACCCTACCCCTTCAGTGTCCATGCACACAACCAGTCGAGGGGTTTTCTTCGTTTTGACCATTTCCTACACTGAAAGTGAAACACCACAAGTGGGATTACGTAGTAAACACGAGTGTAAAAACCAAACATTTGTTCAAGATTCTTCAGCCCCCTTTTGCCTTGATGACAGCTCTGTGTACTGTCGTCGTCCTCTCCAGCAGCGTCACCTCACTTCTCCAACACTTTTGAAGGATCTCTCATAAGTTGAGCACTTGCTGGCTGCTTCCCCTTCATTCTTTTGAAGGATCTCTCATAAGTTGACTTCACTTGCTGGCTGCTTCCCCTTCATTCTGTGGTCCCACTGACCCCAGACCAGCTCAGGTGGGTTTAGGCTGGGTGGATGTGGAGGCCTGGTCGCCTGATGCAGCACCCCATCACTCCCTTCCTTGGTCAGACAGCCCTTA